TTTAAAGCAACTTAGATGATCTTAAATATGTTTGCCGATACGATATAATATATGCTGTTTGAAATTGACATCTTTCTGCTTCGAAGTTAACTGTGCACTGTTCTCACCTGACTTGTTTGAAATGTTTGAGAGTATTTCAGACTTGGATTTGGATGATCTTATACCATCCTTCCGAATGTTCAGTTGCCTTTCATCGCTTAATGAGTCTGATTTATCAGAATTATCGTTACTCTCTGTGGTTTGTCGCAGTGTTTGTTTCTTTGTAGGGTTTGCAAGCTCATTTTGTTTTGATTTAAATATCAACTTGTTCATGAGATAGTTTATAGCATCCTGTTGTTGCTTGTCTTTGTCTTTGAGTATTGTGATAACATTTTCTTGTTCTGCTTCACGCTCTTTCAATGATCGGATTGCATGCTCATGCGACTTCACTGGAAATATATGATGTTAATGATATCATACAACATATCTTTAAATCTTCTTTTTCATATTTTTTTAGATTGCATTCTCTTTCTTGCTGATGGCAAAACAATTTGTTCTCAAATCACGTATCTCATAATTAAAAGTTGATATATCTTCTTATAACATTTTTGAATCTTAATTTTTGATTAAAGCATACCGATATGTGCAAGATTTGGAAGGAAACAATATTGATTTAAATCATTTTTTGAATCACTTATCTGTAAAGTCACAAACCATACCTGTGTCTTTAAGCTCTTTTATTATCGACAGAATCTCAGTATCTCCTGTTATAACTGTACATGATATATCCACGAGGAACACAAATAAAAATATAGAAACAAAGAAGTTAACCGGCATCTTCAAATTGTCAAATATTATTTTACAGTGGCCTTGTGCAGACTAAGTTGCCGTTTATATAAGGGTCTTGTATCTATATTAAGATACGCGTGTTATGCCAGCGATAAGAGTTATGCACTTATTTCGTGATCAAGGTATAATTAAACTGTGTCATAAAATTAAATGTAGTGTAAAAACAGCAGTTACAACAATATTGAATCAAATTAATATGATGTCAACTTGAAACTGCAAACAGTATGGTTTACACTTGCAAAAATTTATAAAATCACATTCTGATGGATAACCATGCTTAATTGTATAGTATATCTTCAGTTAATGTTTTTAATAATCTTTTTCGAAACAATTAGACTAGTTATAACTATCTGGTCTTCAGGCTTAATCGCACACTTAAAGTTATCAAAAAAAAAATGTTTTGTATTAAAAATTAAGAAAAATAGAATGTTACTCTTAAATTCCAAGTTTGGTGTACGTCTATGCATTTCCCTACTCGAGTATGCATATCAGCATAATTTATTGTATGCAGTATCTTTCATTTTGTACTTTCATTTTCTTTCACAATTTTTGAAACAACTAACTTAACCTTTTCCCTTATTTAGACGTGTTTTGACGGCTTTTGCCCCTTCTTTGAGGCCTCAAACAGAAAATTTTGGAAATGTGACAAGCTAAAAATGTAGGTCAGTCGTAGGGTAACTAGTATCCGACGCTGAAAAGCCTTTTACTCTATCTTAATTCATTGAGAAGTTGCAGCACTTTGAAATCAGTTTTGATGGAAAAAAACAATGAAAAATAGTGATTTTTCGCAATTTTAGAGACGTCCCGCCGTTGCCATGGTTACGGAAAATGTACAATTGAGCATGCTGGCACAGAGGCTATGGTCCAGTCAACATTTGTGCCAAAATTCATCAGTATTGAAACATTTTATATAGTTTCATAGCAGTTTGAATTTGTAACAGGAGGCTTTTCAATGAAAACGGTAATTTTTCACAATATACACATGGGATAAAAGGTAAATTGAAAAAAAAAATGTCACAAAACAACAATTTGTCACAAAAATTAAGTGTAAAGGCACGTGTTAACATGGAAAAACTAGTTTTTGGGTAATTCAGAGGTTTTTCATAATTTTTTGTTCATTAAAAAATTAAAATATGTCAAAAAACAACAATTTTTCACCAAAATTAAGTGTAAGGGCACGTGTTAACAGGGAAAAACTAGTTTTTGGGTAATTCCAAGGTGTTTCATAATTTTTTGTTAACCTTTTTTTCCTTATATAGACGTGTTTTGTTGGCTTTTTGCCCCCCTTTTTGAGGCCTCAAACAGTGAAAAGATGCCCTATTTAGACCCCAACCACTGTTTTTCATTTGAGAAATGTTGTTTAAAAAAGTGACCACTTTTTCGACGCGGCCCCCATCAAAATGGTACATCAGGGGTTGTCAGAAGGAGGATGTGCTTCCTTCTGTTTCGGGGGTTTGAAGGGGGGCGTTGGTAACAGGAGGCTTTTCAATGAAAATGGCCATTTTTCACAATATGCTAATGGGATAAAAGGTTAAAATCTGTTTTTAAACTCGCCTTATTTTGGGAGCCATGCTAATTCGTCTTTCGCTAATTTTGCCTTTTAGTGGTAAATTTCCATTTAAAAAACAATAGATAAAAGTAAAATAAAATAAACCACTATCGCAAACCAGCTTGTACATGAATAAAATCTTTCGAATTAAAAAAAAAACTCATTTTAATAAAGAAGAAAAAGATCCTAAACAATTTCTTCCGCACAATTTCAAATAACATAAAGTAAAGTTATTGAAAAGTAAGGAATTATTTCTCTACATATTTAATTGGTGGTGTCAACCAGTCAGACATTCAACTTTAAATAACATAATCAGCACAATTACTCATTCGTAAAGATTTCCTTCTTGATATCACATTTAATCAAAACTGTTGTCCATCTCATTGGTTGCGAAACGAAGTTTTGTCTGTTTTGTAAAAACATAGAAAGGCATATATTTGTTGAAAACAATGCACAAACCAATCACTATTCTACGCATAGCAAAATTATATAAAAAATAACAATATAACATTATAAATTTGAATGAATAATTGACAATAAATATGACCAATATGTTGTTCCGTCGCGCAGATACTTGATTGCGATGATTAAATACCGACCAATCCCTGATGTCTTGTATTTCAATTTAGATGCTAAACAGGGTGTAATTGTAGGTTTGTGCTTTTGTCATTCAGGCGTGAGTCTTCCCTTATAACCCAGATCATGTAATGAAAAATAAGAAATGCGTTCTAAATTAACTGATTTGATATCAGGATTGTGTCAGATGTCATAAATTTAAAACGTTACTAATAATACATAATTAACTTTGAATAAAGCCTCTGCAATGTTAATCTGTATTTCAGTAAATTGCTGTCATGTGTATTTCCTTTTTCCCCAAATTCCCTTATATGTTTAATTCTACTGCTCGTGTAATTTTAAATATCACCCATTATAATACAGTTCTTTATTGATTAATATAAAGGAAAGCAAACTTCAGATATGTCTGATATAATTATGGTCATTCTTTTTAAACATAATATACTAGACAGTATATTTACTTCCTTAATTTGTTGAAAATTACATACACACACTAAGAAAGAGCAAGAAAAAAGAAATAAGTAAATAGAAAGAGCATCGAAACATGATTTTTACGAGAGGGGCGTAGCCCCTGAGTATAAATCAGATTGCCGAGTGTTTTGATTGTTTTGTATCATAGACAACAATATAAACACCTTTCCTGTTGTCTCAATATGAAACCCCAGAAAAAATGTAACCAATGAATGAGCATCTGAATATGATATTTCTATCGCTATCGCTCTGCCGTCTCAATAAGCGAAACCCCAGGAAAAGTGAGCCAATCTATGGGTATTCTTTGGAGTGCGGATAACTAATACCTGCACTCCAGTTATATATATGTATACGATTTAACTCTGGCACATATTCAACAGAATGGTCCCCAAACTCTGATACAATAAATTATTAGATAAGTTAAACGCACCAAATATTCCCTGTTACCAAGTTGACAACTACAATATGAATATACCACCATAATTAGTATTTATAATAATACTAAGAAAACGTCGCATACAGTAGGAAATCTTGTAGCTAATTATGATTTTTATTGTCTTTCATTATTAAAGTGTTTCATGCATTAAAAGAAGAATTGATTAATTGGTATGATTTATCAATTTTCAAATACTTTTATCTTTGTACATACCAAAGCCTTTTTGTGGATCTGAATAAAATTTGCAAATTTGTTTTTACGGAAATTTGTTGATTGCTCTTTTATTGGCTGTTTTGCTTATATTAAACAATTACATTGTGGTCTATTTATTTGTCAGAGTTTGACATTTGTTTCGGCAGAAGGCCGTCGAAATTCAGTTGGACTTCCTGTAAAATTTACAGGGAAGAACTGAATATAAATAAAAATTGTATTGATCATATTAAAATTATGATGACCACAAAAGTAGTATTTTAAATTTTTATATTTAAATCTAAAGGAGTACAGGTCAAAAACTTTTTTCTTTCGTGAACTCATGTACATGGAAAAAAAAAACATAACGAATTTCTCCTGCACACTCAGTCAATGTCAAAAAGTAATTGATATTTTCAATTTTCATGATTTGTTTTAAAATATTTATATACATCAATATGGGTTAAAATGCAATTCATACTATTTTTGATAATTATGCTAGTAACGCAGAGAACTATATTTAAAGCTCGAGCGAGTTTAAAGCGTAAGTATGATAAGTTAAACATTATTATTCATTTTTTTAAACATATGGTTAATTTGCGTTTGTTTTTCCCCATTTTAATCTTTCTTAGCTTTATTTAAGTTTAAGAAACTGCGAGTTATTAAACATCATATATTACCCATTCATGATATCACATGGTTTCACAACCAAAGGGCCCTCACGTCTCGGTTGAAATACATGCCTTTTGATCATTTTGCTCTATCTCTCTCAGCTTGCTGTGATATTTATATGATCCGCCTAAGGAACATTTAAATTTGTATTCCATGCTAATCTGTGTACAGAAATTGAATCATTTATGTAAAGGATGGGCCTCGCCAATCGTTAGACACAATTTAGGAAGGGATAACGTAATTCAGAACTATTGACAAAGTTTAATAATCTAATTCATTTTACATTGGCACTATAAGAGCTCCACTAAAACTTGTATGCATACCACGACCGTGAATTTGTGTGTTTGCAGGCCAAAGATTTCCAACCCACACTTCGTCACCGACATTTAATTGCACGGCAACAGAAGCAGAGCCTTGGTCATAGGACGATTGCCCAGCAGATACTGCATAAGCACCGGCTAGCTGAATACCATTTTTCACTATTCCTACATCGATATCGGCATAATGTTCTGCTAATATAGACGTACAAAAAAGATATATGCCGGATACGGGGGCAATAAAGATGCCCGAAAGGTGATGATAGCCGCCGCCAAGATTTAGGTGAACAGAGTCATACACAATTTTCTGATGCAGTCCAATGTTTGGGATTGTAGTTGCACTAAGTATTGCCTGGAAAGCGACGTTTGGATGTATAGATTGTCTGCTGGACCTCAATACATCTGAAATTAACATTAAATGAATGAAAAATTGAAAGAGCCAAATAATAATACCTGTTTTTATCTGTGATTATTTTACAATGTAGGCAAATTATAAAGGATAGAATTTCAGAACAAGTTTGATAAATTTATTCTACAAATACTGTAAACACGTTCAATCGCAGTATAAGATATCTTAGTGTTCGACGTATTGTTTTGGTGTCAGTAAACAATTTAACATTTGATGTTTTTTAAAGTACCTTGTCAACTTAAATATTTAAAGAAAATTACATGAACTTGAATATTTTTGCATACAAGATAAAACAATCATATATGCTGTATGTTTGACAAAATATGATTATATTAGAAATGTTGTAAACGATAATATGGCAACTCTTTATGACTCATAATTTTAATTTACAACATTCTTTACTGTGCATTGTTCTTACCTGCGTTGTCTGAAATGTTTGAGAGTATATCAGACTTGGATTTGTATATTCTTTCACCGTCCTTCCGAATGTTCAGTTGACTCTCATCTCTCAACGAGTCTACCTTTTCAGAATTATCGCTTCGTTTTTTGGTTTGTCGCAGTGATTGCTCCTTGGAATTTGCAATCTCATTCTGTTTTGATTTAAATATCAATTCGTTCATGAGATAGTTTATAGCATCCTGCTGTTGCTTGTCTTTGTCTTTGAGTGTTATGATAACATTTTCTTGTTCTGCTACACGCTCTTTCAATGATTGAATTGCATGCTCATGCGACGTCACTAGAAATATATGATGTAAATGATATCATATAACACATCTTTAAATCTTCTTTTTCATAATTTATTTCGATTGCATTCTCTTTCTTGCTGATGGCAAAACAAATTGGTCTCAGATCACGTATCTCATAAAAGTTGTTAATATCTTGAACGTATAACATTTTTGAATCTTTATTTTAGAGTTAATTTAAAGCATACAGATAAGTGCAAGATTTGGGAAGAAAGAGTATTAACTTAAATATTTTTTTTTATCAATTAACTGTAAAGTCACATAGCATACCTGTGTCTTTCAATTCTTTAATCATCGACAGAATCTCCGTATCTCCTGTTATTTCTGTACATGATATACCCACGAGGAACACAATTAGAAATATAGAAACAACGAAGTTAACTGGCATCTTCAAATTGTCAAATATTATCTAACAGTGGCCTTGTGCAGACTAAACTGCCGATTATATAAAGTTCTTGTATCCATATTAAGATATATGTGTTATGCCAGCGATAAGAGTCATGCACTTGTGTCGTGATATTAAACTGTGTCATAAAATTAAATGTAGTGTTAAACATTAGTTGGTACCATATTGAATCAAATTAATATGATGTCAACTTGAAAGTGTAAACAGCATGGTTTACACCCGCAAAAAAATTATAAATATCTGCATCCGACTAAATGGCGTATATGACTGTTGACAACATAAGAGATCATACCATGTTTCCTTTTATTCAATAAACAAGAACACTCCTACTAAGATAAAACAGTTTACATCGTACTGTCATATTGACTTTGATCCCAATATGGCTTAAATTCTCAGTCTAAACTTTTCAAAATATCGATTCTCTGCCGGAATTTTGCTTTAATTTTTTTGTGCTTCTTAAGGTATTGTGTTGCGTTGGGAAACGATTCTTTTTTAATAATTTATTTAAACCATAATAATTAATCATGCTTCAACAATGTTCGGTCTGTTTGGTCTTTCTAAATATTACGGTTATTTTCTATTCAAGTTTTAATAATATCTAAAATATATCTCACATATATCTCGATAAATATCTGAAATCGTTTCGACATTTCAACGATATAATCGCATTCTGATGGATAACCATGCTTTATTGTACAGTATAACTTCGTTGATGTTTTAAATCATCTTTTTGAAACAATCAGAATAGTTATAATTATCTGTTTTTCAGAGTTAATCGCTTACTTAAAATAATCAAGAAATTTTTAGTATTAAAAATATTAAACGATTTTACCACTAAATTACAAGTTCGGTGTACGTCTTTGATTTCTATACTTAAGTACGCGTGCGGCATATCAGCATATTGTAAGCAGTAACTTTCTTCATTTAGTTAATGTATTTATAGTTTGCACATCTTTAAAAAATCTTTTTTTCAAACCCGCCTTATTTTATTGCAACAGTGTGTTATCAATGCCAATATTCTCTTGACTATGCAAAAGGGATTTCAGATAAAAAAACAACAACATAAAAACAATAACATATGGTCTTCAAATCTTTTGGATACTGATACTTTGTCTTGGATTTAACTTGAATAATACAAATTTATAACAGTTATAATGGTGAAAAGAATCTTAATAATACTCGAGCTCAGACATTGGCAGCTCATGTTATTTTCATAAGCCTATACGTTTACCTTTATTAATATTTCCATTTAAACATCTATCTCGTTTTAAGTGAAAAAGAATCAGCCAACATTTCAATTCCGTTCCTAAATGAATTAAATCCCTCAAAATTAAGCAAATCATCATCAGAGTGCAAAAATAAAAAATTCTAAACACGTGATGCTGCACAATTTCAAATAAAAGAAAGAAAAGTTATTGAAAGTAGGTATTTTTTTTCTACACATTTAATTGGCGGTGTCTAGCAGAGTCAGACATTTAGCTTTTAAAAGCATTATGAGCACAATCACTCATTCATAAAGGTTTCCTTTTAGATATCACATTTTTTCAGAATTGTTGTCCATCTCATTGACTGCAAGACATTTTAATAAGGATAATTCCAATAGAGGCATATATCAGTGGAACACATTGTGTAAACCAAAAATTTAGATTTGTAAAAATGCAACAACAGTTATTTTCTGAAGTGATTGCTAGCAAAAATCAATCAGAGGAATAAGTTATAATAAATATTACGTATTAAAGTTATAATGTGATACAAGATACCAAAACGGTTGATGTTGTATGATAATATAATATATACATCGTAATTAAGTATGTAATTCAGAAGAATAATTATTGCTATAAATTACATGTTGTGATAGAATTTAAAGCTTGTGTTTAGGCATAAAAATCGAGGATGACCTTATGTCTTAAAACAGTTGCAAATTGATATAAAAAGCTATATGCGTACAGATTGTTAAAGATCGGGCGTTACAAATAATTCAACATATAAGAGTTTTGAAAATTGAATTCTCCACTAATCATATGATAATGTAGGACAATTTCTACACTTGATATAAAGTTGAATTTACGATATCTTTTAAGACTGAAAGAAAGTCCCCCTTCATAAATATCATAATATTCGTTATTCTAATTTTCCTGCAGTAAACATACGTATAACGTAAAACCAAACCAATGTATGCAGGCAAAGAAAGCTTATTTTGGTCTTTTCGGTACAATTCACAGACATTCTTTTAGTGTACAACTAACATATTCGTTCAAAGCAAAACAAATTTACGTTAGTAAGTTGAATTCTCAGAACATTTAAGCATTCGCATATTATCAAATATGCTATCATAGCATGAAACCTATTTGTATTGTCTGTCACTCATTGTTGAATGTTTGTAAAATGTCTTTGCATAATATAATTATTTCATGTTGCATTTATTAAAACAAAAACTGTTTAGTTGTGTCTATAATGTAAATGAGACATAACAAGGAAATTTCTAAAACTCAACCATCATAATGGTCATATCTTTGCTATGTTAACGTCTCAAACTTTGCACAAAACAAAGAAGAACTCTATAGATAGTTTTTTTATATAAAAAACAAAAGGTATGGTTAACAGAACATTAAAATAACACAGCATGCAAAATTTGACAAACATGTTTGCTGTTGTTGTAACTGTCTTTACGAAATGATGTTATCATTTGTTTCTATAATATATTTGGTCAAATACAGCTATTACAATTTCAATCTGACACGTTTGTTAAAGCAATTTGAGAATGATATTTCAATTTGTTTTAATATGATTAGTAAGACATCCATCTTTTCTTGAAAAAGAGACTTGTATTTAAGAGTTTTTTCTCTTCTAATTTGTACAATGCCTTTTTACCTGTCAGTATCTCAATAATAAAATTATATTGATTTCCACATTTCATCATGCAATACAATATGTAATACAAGAATCTATTTGCATATCGACTTGATTGTTACTCCACCTTTATGTCATATGAGGTACAACCCTTTTGCACTAAGTCCTCGATATTTTCCCTTTGAACATTGGGCAGTTAAGATTCCGGCCAAGGTAATTCATATGTCAGGTATGATTCTATATATTTATATAAACAGTAATAGCTTTGTCCTGACAGCTTCTACCCCCCCCGAAATTCCCTCGATTGCAAGTACTTGTTTTAATTGTAAAAATCTATGTCTCGACCAATCCTTATTTTGTTTTCTATTGTCAACTAACTGGGACATGAGTTTAAAGAAAACAAGGTAAAAAAGTTATAAATTTCCGTAGAAATATTTTTTCAAGAACACACAAACAGCAAAGCTATAGGGATGCAATATTAGATGAATTATACCGGCTAATATGGCCGGTAACCAGTTAATATGGAGAATTATCAATCTTTTAAGTCTTCAATCTTTTTAATTAGATTTTCACGTGGATGAATTGCTGTTGTAACAAGATAAAAATGGTGACAATGTTAAAAAGTGTATTAGAGAAGTGGTTGATAAAATTGTATTTGTTCATTTTATTATTATATTAATTGTGACGTTTAATTAAGAAACTTTAAGTTGAAAAGAAAATCTAATGAAGTGTTGAGAAATATTTGTTTTATCCTTTTTAATGTTGTATCTTACAAGCGATAACTTCTATTTTCAGTCTGAAATCCAAGAGTAAAGTTTTGTCTAAGATATGACAAAGCAGCTTGAAACTGACATTTTAACTGAAATGTACATGGTCATTTGAACCCTAACAGGGTCATGTTGTAACCACGTGGGGCATGTCTGTCAAAGATGGTGGCCAGTTAGCAATATCGCAATGCTGATTGAGATGAACCAAAAAAAAAAGAGCACAATTCTTTAACAGCAAAACAAGAACTGCTTTAAATCGTGCTCTCATTCTAATTCTTTTCATCAAGTTTTTTTTCTTTTCTTTTTTTAAAATTTTTCCCTTGTTTTTTGCTTGAACGGTAGAAAAAACTGACCCTTTGTTCCTTATAGTTTATTTGCTTGTAAAGTATATCTTTATCTAAATCAGAAAATATTTGATTGAATGTAAAAGGGTATTAAATATTAACTTAGAAATTGTGCTATTAGTGCTCTATAGAGCGTTTTAAATATAAACTGTACACAAGCCTTGTTTATCAGGTTAAAGACGGCACAATATTTACAATATTATATTCCAATAATTTATAATTATTTAGCAATAAAAGAAGAAGAAAAAAAGAACGTGACTATACTCTTAGTGTTTCCGGTATAATCATGAGATGCTTTTAATTTGCTAGGGAATGATGACTTATTGTTTCAGCATACCCTTATATAATTGTTATTCCAGTACAATAATAATCAAGGGAAAGTTTTTGAATGTCAGAAGCGTCCATTGAGACATAATTGTCTGTCTAGTGCCACGCCATAGGAATACAATTGTCCTCTCTACTTCCTATTCTACTTCATCCTGTCTGCCAGATTGATAGCCCTCAGTGGGAAAATATGCCAGATTTTAAAAGTGCAACTTATGGGAATGTTGGTCCACGAAAGCCAAAATAAAGTTAGAAATAGTGATTTTAAAAGTGCAACTAATGGGAATGTTGGTCCACGAAAGTCAAAGTAAAGTAAGAAATAGTGATGCCATTAAAATACAATTGTATTGTCTGAATTTGCATTTTTTTGAAACATAAGTAAAAGCTGAACATTGTTTTAAAGTTGAATTGTGCACGTCGTATGTATTATCTTTCAGCCATAAAACAATAAATGCTGTTAAACGAAAAGCAACTTTTTTAAATACTGATTTTCTAGCAGTTTCCGGACACTAGCAGTTTTCCGGCCGTTTATCATTTTCGTTCATTTCGGTTTATTTTTAATTATAAAGCATCTGGAAACCTCCTCAAATCATACAGACGTTTGTTTTCTAGACCACGCAGCAAATAAATAAGAACAGCGGTCTATTTATTTTGAGGAATTGCCGGTTGTTTGTAGCTACTTTACGGAACTTGTCGCATCACCTATTAACAACACCTGGGGATTTCCAGCTTAAATGCGCATGCGCAATAAATGAGGCCCCATTCGAGGTAAATTAATATTTACGAACATTTTACTTGCAGACGATTTTTAAAAATTATTCCAGCTTTAAATATACACGATAAATTATTACTATCACAGAGAAAGATGCACAGAAAGTCGTATGTAGTTTTTTTACAGCAAGAATAAATAATATCGCATAAAATATTGATCGATGCTAGTTTTACTTTTATGGTTATATATAGTTTACAACCGCTCACAATCAACAATCTTCTGTAGCCGAGAGGTATGATGACTGGCGTTGTACACATGCGACCCGGATTCGATACCAACGCTCAACCTTCTTTTTTTTTTCCTTTTTTATTTTTATACAAGTTGTTCGCGATAAAATTTGTTTTACAAACTTTAAAATTTATCTTATTTCCAAAATAAAAATTGTTATTACTCCCTGCGGTCTGGAGACCGCAGGGTATTGGTACGCGTTTCACTTTTGAGGCATGGAGGAGCACGTGACCTGTTTTAGGTACATAGAGGAGCATGTGATCTGTAAACCCTACACGATTGGTTTATTGACCTTTTCGAAAACTAAACTGGCTAAATACCGTTTGTCGGTACGTTACGGAATTACCTCTAGGGAATTTGCCACAATTACACCTAATTAAGAACAAAAAACTATTACGTTATATAATTATTTTACCGTTTAAGGTGGAAAAACTTGAATGATGTGTTTGAAAATTATCAATGTTTCTTTAATATATGTATCTCAAATTTTACAAACAATAAATTGTTTAAACTGAAACTCTACAAAATTAAAATATTCGTACTGGCATCTGCCATAAATGGAGATATTTTCTGCGTAAACTTGTGTGTTTACTTTATTTATTTAATTTTTTTTTTGCTTGGAATTATTTATAAAATGGTAGGCATATTAAATCATTTTCTTAAAAAGAAATAATAGTTTTATATTCTAACTTCTCCTGTCATCAACGGTCACCAATTTCCAAAGACCTTCTTCTATATTGATCGATTATTGTCAACTATATTCCTGACACAAACGTTTATTACTCCCCTCCCCCAAAACAATGTTGAACATAGTTAAATGAAATATCTTTATATCATTAAAAATGTTCCCCGCAGGAAACCATTTTACTTGTACATTACTGGTTAAACGTTTTAGGTATTATAATGCCAAAGACATACACCGAAGATCAACTAGCGTCAGCTCTGTCAGCTGTGCGTCAAAGAAAAATGAAAATTACAGCGGCTGCTAGAATATTCGGAGTACCAAAATCAACTCTCTCTGACAAAGTGAGACACAAGTACTCGGGAAACAGACCTGGACCAGAAAGACAGCAACTACAACACGAAGAGGACTCCCTTGTCCAGTATCTCTTATACATGGCGAATCAAGGCTTTCCACTTTTCAGGGCTATGATCAGGTGTTACATACAAGAGATAGTTATACAATCAGGTGTGTTTTGTAATATAAAATGTTCCATGATTAATTTGCGGGTTTAATTTTAGAATCTACTCGACCAATTATAATGTGTCTATCATAATCATATTTTGAACGAATTTTAAAGAATTCTTACATCAATATTCAAGTACAATGAAAATATAGTTCTGTTTAAAGTACTGTTATTTGTTGCAATTTTTCAGGCCGTACGTCACTGTTTAATCTACAAAAAGGACCCTCTGATGATTGGTTCACAAAGTTTTTCGGGCGGCATCAAGACTTGGCTCAAAGAAAGGCAGAAAACATGGACAATGCCCGAGTATCCATGTCATCTAAAAGGATGCTTGACAAATTTTTTCCTCTTCTCAAGTCTGTTCTTGATAAATACAACTTGAAAAACAAACCAGAAAGAGTAAGCATTGTTTATGTTGGCACTTATATAGAATAATCGTTCTATAACGAACTAATTATCTCTTTTACATATATTACTCTTTTTATATATTATGGCATTTGATACATAAAATATGTTCATATGAAATATGAAAAAACAGGTAACACAGAATATTCAACAACGGATCGTTATAATAAGCATACCGTGTAAACATAATTTAAGTAACTGTTATGTTTTATTATTAGATCTTCAATTGTGACGAAACTGGATTAACAGGAAAAGAGGCACCTAGGTCGAAAGTAATCGGGCCTCGTGGAGGGCATTTGTTTAGAAGAAAGACGTCTTCAGCAGATCACGTGACAGCACATCATTGTGTCTCAGCAGATGGACACTTTCTACCACCTCTTATAATTTACAAGGTATTTTATTAAGTATGCATTTGCTAGCGATAACGCTTTGAAGAAAGTATAATTCTATTTACATGTACAATATAACTGTATAAAATTATCATGTATACTATACTCTATACTGATATACAGTGATACGTTTTCTATCGTGTACTTTCTATTACAGGGTTCATTACCTCACCAGAATTACACAGATAGTGTACCGTCGTCATGGTATTTTGGCCACAGCGAAAACGGCTACATGGACCGTGAACTTTTCACAAAATGGTTTTTCAGCGTGTTTGTTCCAAACTGTGGCAGAACAAGACCCGTCCTACTTATCATGGATAACCACGACTCTCATATTAGCATTCCAGTAGTTGAAAAGGCGATAGCTGAAAATATTGTTCTTCTTGGTCTCCCTGGTCATTCCACGCATATTCTTCAGCCTTTAGACGTGAACGTAAGTTTGTAATAATTAGTCAGCTTACAAAATCATGTAATATACAAGTTTATGTAACCACTATTTGCTTTGGGAAATATGATTTGATGTTTTAGTAACATATTTTACTTAAATTGCTATTCAGTACGAACAAAAATATGTACATCTCGCTAAGAAAAGAGTGCCGGGCGTTCTAAACAATCTAATCATCAAACTAAATTATCGTTTATAATACATTTAGTATTGATAAGTTTATTGTAACTGCACACATGTGAAACTTTTAAATTTCAAACATTTTAGATGAATGTGTTAAATGCTTTCAGAGTATATCACCTTTGAAGGACGCTTACACCAAAACACTGTCAAGTCTTGGATATCTAAAAACTGCAGTAAGCGTAGGAAGGGCAAAATTCCCGGTTTTATTAAAGCACGCAATGGACAAAATCGCTCCTGCAACTATAGCTGACGGCTTCACGAAAACAGGGATTTGTCCATTTAACCCCTCTATCATTGATCAAACGCAAATAGTGAAGCCAACATTTATTGAAGGTAAAACTTGCCGAGTACGATGCATTTGTTTGTAAATTTAATTAGTACCGGTAAGGCAGTTTTTCTGCCAAAAAAAAAAACCCCAAACAAACAAAAAATAAAACAACAAAAACAAATAAACAAAAAAAAAGAAACTATCGGATAAAGTAATTCTTTTTATATTTCGTAATATCTAAACACACTTCAAGAAAGCAGTAAATATTTGATATATAATTTTTTAATACTTTAACAATATTTGCATTGTTTTTAGAAGTAGATGAGGTAAGGACATGTAGCACCTGTGGGTCGTTCCTTACCAATCCATTGGTAAGGAGAGGCATGATATCAGAGTCTCTGGAAAATGTTCTTCTACCTCCGCCAACTAAACCACAGAACACACAAGCAAAAAAGTCTAGAGTGGTAGCAGAGGGAAGGCTCATAAGTGGCCAAGAAATGTTGAATCAATTAAAGGTTTGCCTGCGTTGTTTCTCGATTAACTATAAACGCTATGGTAGTAATACGACTGCATGTCGTATACATAACTGTCATTGCGATAATTTAAAAACATTTCAAAACATATATCGTAACCCATTTTTAATTTATGAGTAATTGAAGGTACATATCACGAAATTTTATCTTATTGCGATATATTTTCCAGAAAAGTTGAATTATCTAGATTTTTGTAATCATTTCTATGCTTAAGTATGCATTTTTTTTGTGAATATTCGTATCTTAACAGTAAAGAACGATAGCAAACATGTTTTGTAACAAAATATCCCAATATACAAGTTATACTAATTTTCAATTCCTATTTATGTAGGAAAAAGAGGACCTAGCCGCTAAGAAGAAGGAAGTATCAGAGAAGAGAAAAAATGAATTAGAAAGAAAAAGAAAGCAGAAATAAGTCGATGATGAATTGAGAGGAAAAATAAAAGACTGAAAGAGAAGGAAGAAAGGGAAGCTAAGAAGAAGAAAGAAGAAGAACTGAAGAATGAGAGGAAACAAAAACGTATAGAGGAACGTGACAGGAAGCAGAAAGAGAAGGTAAGGGTATTAATGTTTATTTTATTAATGTTAATGTTTACAACAGATCATGGAATGAAAGATAAGAAATGTGTGGTATTATTGACTTAATATCAGGATTGTCTCAGATGTCATAAGTTTAAAACGTTACTAATAAGACAGAGTCAGCTTTGAATAAAGCCTTTGCAATGTTAATCTGTATTTCAGTAAATTGCTGTCATATAATTCCTTTTCCTCAAATTCCATTATACATGTATGTTCAATTCTACAGCACGAGTAATTTTATATATCACCTATTACAATACAGTTCTTTTTTGATTATATATGAAAGGCAGACTTCAGATATGTCTGATATAATTATGGTCATTCTTTTCCAACATCATATACTAGTATATTTACTTCCTAAATATGTTGACAATTACATACACATTAGTAAAGAGCAAGAAAAGATATAAAAGTAATAGAAAGAGCATCGAAACACAAGGGTATCTGATTTGTACGAGGGGCGTAGCCTCTGAGTATTAATCAGATTGCCGTGTTTTTTTAATGTTTTGTATCAGGCAACAATATAAAAACGTTCCCTGTTTTCTCAATATAAAACCCCAGAAAAGGGTAACCAATGAATGAGCATCTAAATATGATAGTTCTATCTCTGCCTTCACAATAAGTGACCTCAAGGAAAAATGAGCCAATAAATGGGTATGCTTTGGTATGCGGATAACTAATACCTGCACTCCAGTTATGTATATCTATACACGTTTTCAACAGAAATTATACTAGTAAAGCTCGATCTGGTTCAAAGCCTAATTTTGATAAGTTAAACGTTTTATTCATAAACTTTTTTTAAACATATGATGAATTTGCGTTTGTTTGTTTTCCATTTTTAACAATTCTTAGATTTTTTTTCTATCATTGAGTTTTATTTAAATTATAAGAAACTAAATTTTGTTATACATCACGTGGTTCATTTGCTATAATAATCATAATATCACATGATTACACAACCAAATGACCCTCAGATCTCAGTTGAAATAACATGTCATATGTTCCTTTTGCCATATCTCGCTAAGCGTGGTGTGATATTTATATGACCCCCCCTAAGGAACATTCAATTTGTAAACCATATTATTCTGTGTACACAAATATAAACCATTAATGTAAAGGGAGGAGCTCGTTTATCGTTATATATTAAAATCATGTACAATTTAGTAAGATATAACAAAATTCAGAACCAGTAACAAAGTTTAATCATCTAATTGTTTCATTTCACATTGGCACAACAAGAACACCAGTAAAACTTGTATGCAAACCTTGACCACGTATTTGTGCGTCTGCTGGCCAACGATTTTCAACCCAAACTTCGTCACCGATATTTAATTGCATGGCAACAGAAGCAGCCCCCTGGTCATAGGTAGATTGCCCACCAGATTTTGCATAAGCACCGGCTAGCTGATTACCATTTTTTATTATTCCAACTTCAATATAGGCATGATATTCTGATAATACAGATGTACAAAACATATATATGCCAGAAACAGGGGCAATGAAGATGCCTGAAAGGTGATGATAGCCGCCGCCAAGATTTAGGTTAACAGAGTCATACACAATCTTCTGATGCAGCCCAACATTTGTGAGTGTGGTTACACTAAGTACTGCCTGAAAAGCGATGTTTGGATGTATAGATTGTCTGCTGGGCCTCAAATCGTCTGAAGTTAAAGGTACTCCACTGAGGTACGGCCGAATGTCACAAAAAAAAGTAAAATTTCACGAACCGATAATTTTTTGTTACCTGCGTGTTAGGGACATTCAAACAGAATCAGTGATACATTGATATGTGTTCTTTGGATTGGCAAGTCGTTTGAAATACATATTTTCTCCAATTTTGTGGGAAAAGCGTTTAAACACCTTTCAGCTTGCAAATCTGAATAAAAACAACGGTCACGTGATGATTATCGGGATGACTAAAAAGCGAAACGGAGAATTTTTTGTGTATCGGCAGCAACGAAAGTGCGAAAGTGGAATATACCAACAATCCATAAATTTTAAAGCAAATTATGGGTTTGTTTGTTAAATTTCTTGTTGTTCACATATGTTCTTGTGAGAAAAATCTTTCAAAAGCAATTTCAATATATTTAAAGCATTACATTGTTGTAATCATGTTTTTTTCTCCATTACAATGATGAATTTAGCTAAACGTACGGAGTTGAAAACTGACATAGTATAACACAAATTTTACCAATATTCTATGTTTATTTGAGAGCTTTCGTGTAATTGTTAAATAGTATGTATTAACTTTGTAATGGTTAAAATATCATGATATCTAGGCTTAGAAAATTTTGTCAATCAGTGTAATGGGTCCTATTTCAAAGGTCACTTTGGTTTATCTGACACCCGTTCAGGAAAAAAAAAACTTAAAAAAAAATAATACCTTTTATACAACGAACATGAACTTGAGTATTGTAAGCATAAAAAATCACACGCACACACAGAATGTTATTCCAGATATTTCTCTTTAACTCTGATCAAAGCACTGAAAGCACAGGCTAAATAGAGAATGAATCCAGTCTCATTATAGGACATTTAGGCTTCAACTTTATTAGTTAATAATTCTTATGTATGTCTAGTGCATAAAATAAAAAATTCTATAAGAAAAAAAAAATCGATCTTCTTTGCTAGATAGATCTGAAATTTAAATATTTTATCATTTTACATACATATTTGCATATTTATCCGCATTGGATGTAAACTTTGTTGATGAGATGATTACTACGTTTTTGATCTAGACATTCAAAACTATAGGTAATTGAAACTGTTTCATGCACATGGTAAACATTATCAAGAAGGTCGGAAAAGAGTTACAATCTGGCTCTATTAATATTATTATTATCATTATTTGATTTAGCAGATATCCTGATAAATTTCTTTCTTATTGGAAGGCATCCGTACCAGTGATGGGTCAATTGAGCTGTGCTTTAATGTTAACAATATATTTGAAGCTTCTCGGTGGAAAAAGAAATTGAGAGCGTTATAAGAGTAAAAAAGGAAAACTGGAATAAAGACAATCAAGGCGACGCCAACGTTCACAGGACGGCAGCCCCCCGACACAGTCAAGCTTCCACAGCAGGTTATTGTCGGGACTAGTGAAATAAACTTAAAAACTGATTATATAGTTGTTCTTTTTTAAACCCTAACTTTCTTTCAAATTTAACGAAACAAACAAAATCATGATACTTGCAAGACAATTGTGAAGGGCAGGTAAGTAAAAGTAACTTTAAGAATTCAGTAAGAATATTAATTATTAACCTCACCTCATACAACAACCATTGCTGAAACTATATTCTATAATTACTTCCAACTCCTAGACGGTATACAAACTTGGGAAAGGGCAATGCATATCTTAACCATTGTTTTTACTCCTTATAGCCTGTTTATCATGGCATACTCCCATTGTTAATAGTTTTGTAAATATTTTGATAAAAAAGGTCAGGTTCATTTCCCGACGATTTTGAAAAACACGAGTGACTTGTTTCAAAAACTGCAACGGCTAAATATTGATCGGATGCATTTCATTGCATAAAAAGTTAGGAAGAGAACCCTGCTTTTCTTGCTTTATAGCACTAAAACCTTTACTTTTCTCTACTTTTGTCTCTTCTTTCTTCCTTTTTTTCCTTTTTTTTTTAGTCTTTTATATTTACCACTTGAAAGCCTGAAAAATTAAATTTTTCATTGATACTTTAGCCGTGGTCCTGTGTTGCTTGGTCATGTGGATGAAAATGCTATTTTAAGCGATGTCGAGAGCGTATTTCATAAATAAATCTGACTGGCGAGTAGTGGAATATATACATGTCGGACTGTTTTGGCGAGAAGAGTTTTTGTTAAATTATTAACATCAAATGTTAAACAACAGGTTTATCTTGAAACAAAAAACCTCGAAATTAGCCCGAAATGCAATGGAAAATCTAAATTTAGTATCACTTGATTTTATTCAGGCATTGTTCGTATATCTTCTCCGTGGTGCAAAGGGTAACGCGCT